GTGACGTGTTGGTGCTCACTGCAATTTGTTAAAAATTAAACTGTCGTAACAGCAGGAAGTTTGTCAGGTGCTGGTATTCCCATTTTATGAGCGAGGGAGGTAGGAAGGGTGTGAAGAAGGGAGAACAGATGCAGGGTAAATAACTTGCCAAAGTCTTAAGCAGTGGTGGGTTGAGATTGCAATCGGGTCCCAGAATTACTTACTGGTTTTTAACCCACCACCATCATCATTTTTTATTATTTATTTATTTTGCTCGCCATTCTGCAAGGAATTAACTAGCAAAATATCTCATAGGCTGGTATGTCCAGAGTGGTGTATTGGGTTTCTTGAAGGGATATAGAAGTATACGGTAGGGTTTCTTCCCTTCAGGAGATGACACAGCATTAAAAACTTAGAATTTAACTATGTCCACACAATTAAATAAAGATGCAAAGTATTATTTCCCCCAGAAAATAATACAACCATTGAAAATTAAGGAAGGAGATGTCAGTGGGTCTAGAATGGCTTCTTGAGACATCAGGAAGTGGGTCTTGTCAGGAGTGCAGAATCAGGCCCCACCCAGCCCAGGGGGTCAGACTCAGCATGTTAAAGCTGGGGAGGCGGCTGGGGGGGGGTGCTGATAGGCAGTTTGTGTTATGCTATTGGACATCCCATTTGACCTAAGAACAGGACAGGTAATGTGAGTGCCTCTAGCGTCCAGTCTTTTTTTTTTTCCCCCATACTAACCTGTTCAACTCGCCAAACATGACAGATTCATTGCGTGGTGTGGAGTAAGTGGTACCCGAATACCTGATGGGGACCAGCTCCAGTCAACTCCCAGCAAATGATGACCTCTGTGAACTTCATGTTTTCTCCAGTAAGACTGGATGCTATTCAATCCCCAGCCAGGGAGCTGACCCACATGGCGCAGCAGACCTCTCCTGTCTCGCCTGCTGCTCCCCTCAGCAGTGTATTTCAGTGGATCTACCTGTTCTGCTCCCCACTCTGTCTCTGGTGAATCCTCTCACCCCTGCATCTCTGGCCTGTACCCCAGCTCTTATATGCATAAATAAAAAAAAATCTTAAAAAGAAAAAGACTAATGGGAATGACACAATAGGATCATCTTTGCCTCTTCCCCCCATTTTCTGTCCTCTGGAAAGAGCTGCGGCCCCAAAGTCGGGTGGCTCCTCCAGCCTCATTCTGGCTTTTCCATTAGTGTTTACGTAACCTCCAATGAGTCACTTAATCGCTCTGCAGCCCATTTCTACTACTTCACAACAGAAACATCACACTCAGTGTGACTTCAAGCACAAGATGCTGTGATGAGATAATTTATGGGAGACTCTTGGCTTCCTGGATATTATCAAAGCTGTAATGGTGTCAATATAAAATTACTCTTAAGACCTTCACTTTTTGAAACTTTTAAAATCTGAGTCCCCTAGTGCATTTCAGTCATTTTTCTCATTATAATTACATTGAAAGGGGAAGAGAATCTGACCATCTGTGGCACTCCCCTTCCCTGGAGGCAGCACCGGAGAAGATAATGGCTTCTTCAGCCGCCGTCCGTCCTTCTCCACAGGAGAATGGACCGTGGTTTCTCCTTGTGGCTTTCAGGCCCATTGCTGATGGGTGCGATTCATTAGACAGGAATTTGTGGGCGAATGTATGCGTGGAGCTGTGGAGTAATAGCAGGAGAAGAATATCTGTCCTTGGGGACGGAGGCAGGATGTGAGGTGTGTGGCTTTGCCGCAGCAGGAGGAGCCCCCTAAATCTGTGTTTAGATGGTTCAGCCCCACCCCTGGGGAAATGCTCAGCCATCTCCGACTTCTTACAACCCTGTTGTTGGGTGGGTGGGTCTGGAGGAGATTTACATCTGCCTGCAGACTCTCGGCACCCCCGTGCCTGAGCCTCATGGCGCCCGTCTATCAGCAGCATGATCAGGGGTGCCAGAGAGGCCAAGAGGCCATGTGGCCGTAACCTTTGCTGGCATAGCCAAGGCCCTGGTGCTACCCAGAGCCTACTTGTCTGTGTGTGTGCATGTGCCCAGGTGGGAGAATGGAAGCATTGTGGGCGCGGGGGCAGAGAAGATTCGAGATTGCTGGGACTTGGGCTGATGAACACAGATTATGCTTCTTGGCAGGTGTCACTGCTCCCTTGGTTATGAATGAGGATGTATCAGTGTGTCAGCACCTTACCTTTGTTTTTCAACTGCAGTTTCCTGACCAGAACAGGAACTTCGTGGAAACAAGCCTCCCATCAAGCCTTTCCCTTTTCTTCCAGGAACATGGCTTATCCTAGAACAATCCAGATAACCATATGGTGCACTTGACATGTACATAACAAGCGCTTGGAACGTAGCGTGTAGCCCCCGGTGTAGAAGTGTCTGCTGTCATTGCTGCATTCCCTGAGCTGTGTGCTGTGCAGCCCCAGAGTGACTCAGACATGGACCAGCCCTCAGGGAGAGGTTAGTCCGATTGGAAAGACAAGACAAACATGGAAACGCTGTGGAGAAGATGCCCTGTGCTCGAAGGCAGGGCTGGGTGGCGCTTGGGGTGGAGGGTGAGCAGAGCCAGCAGAGGGGAGAAGGCAGGATGGGAGGCGGCCACATCGGAGTCGCATCTTGGTGGATGGAAAGTTTTAGATACTCACAGGCCAGAAGGTGTCTCCAGGTGAAGTCATGGTAGGAACAAAAGCAGGAAAGAGCTCCTTTCGAGCAAAAACCCAACCGGCCTGTTTTGCCTCCGTGAAGGCTCTGAGTTCTGCGACATCTCCAAAGTTTCCTTGTCCCCTTTTTTTCATTTCTTTAGCTTTCAGTTAAACTTCAGCAGCTTATAATCAGGAGGGGTAGTTATTAAAAAAGGTATTAGTGGCTTTGTAATCGTAGCTGTGGCTAAAAGGGTGGTCCGTTCCTGTAATTGCTAAGGTTTTTAGTTTTCTAAGCTGATCGCCTCCTTTTCTAAAACTTTCTTAATAATAAGCAAATAGCGACCAGGAAGCAGTGTAAATCTCAAAATGTATTTTCCTATTTGGCAATAAATCACGCCCACTGACTGACCTGTGGCAGTTTGGCATCTCCAGAGGCCCAAGATCATTTGACCAAAATAGAATGGAGCTGACTTGCCACCTCGCCGTCTTAACCAGAGTGGAAAAATCACATCTTGGGCTTTACATTAGCTTTCTTTTGTGACGCACACACAACCTCATGATTTCTCTTTCTCTGGCAGTAATTCCATCATCTGTTTGTGATAAATTACTGTGCCTTCGGCTCTTTAGCTTATCCACTTAACAGCTGAATATGCCTCTGCAGACTGGTGTGGAAGGAACTGCACGTTGCTGATGAACAGAGAGCTGTTGGCAAGTTTCTCGGCCTTTTTGTGCCTCAGTCAGTGCATCCACGCAGTGGGGGAATTATAGTATGTGCTGGAAAGAAACCACATGCTTTGTATTTTTAAAATAGTTATTCTATGTAAAGATATTTTAAGACATTAACTTTTAAGCTCATAGAAAACAATTGTCTCATTATGGAGCAGAGTAATTCTATGTTTCCCTAGTAAATTTTAAGCTTGAAATATCCATCCAACAATGGGAGCTAATGTGACTGGAAATTTGTAGCATAGAAAGCATGTATAGGGCTCAACATCTTAGAAACCTAATTTTTTTTTATTGTGGTAACATTGGTTTACAACACTGAATATGATGAGAGTTATAGGATCACAGCTCTTCAGATGTTTGTTACCATATCACACCCACCACCAGGGCACCCAGAGTCCTCCACCACTATAGCTTTTGGGCCCCCTCTACACTTTGCTCTTTACCCCTGCCTTTCTGGTAGCCTCAATTTTAGTCATATTTCTAGGATTTGTTTTTGTTTAGTCTGACTCTTTTGTTTCTCTTTATCCCACATCTGAGTGAAACCATCTGGCATTTGTCTTTCTGACTTATTTTACTTAGCATAATCCTCTCCAGTTCCATCCATATTGTCATAGATGACAAGAGTTCATCTTTTTTATAGCTGCATAGTACTCCATTGCATTTATATTAGGCTGTTGGAAAAGTTATGCAGCGCTTTGTATATGTTTTCTTCTGTATTTATTTCAGTCTTGCATCCACTTCTTTAATCCATTTTGGGTTCATTTTTGGGTATGGGGCAAGAGAGTAATCTAGTCCCATTCTTTTGCTCATGGTTGTCCAGTTTTCCCAACACCATTTGTTTAAGAGACTTTACTTTCTCTGGTATATACTCTTGGCTCCTTTGCCATAAATTAACTGTCCATATAAGCACAGAAGAAACCCAGTTGTGAATAACCAAAAAGCCCAAAACAGTCAGTGACATGGCACATGTGCTCCAGAAATATTTCTTGAATGAATTTTTTTGGGTGCTGCAGGACCACTATGTTTAGATTAAGCAATGATTAAGTACAACTAAAGATTATAAAGTGAATGTCTATGCTTGGGATTTTGAATTTCTTTAAAATCTATTTCCAGTGTCATACCTTATTATAGGAATAGTTCTTACTCAGGTACATATTATGTTAATATGCTTTAATAAAGCACATCGCCTATCTGTCTGTCTGTCTATCTTTCTATCAGTTAGTCAATCAATGTGGTTTTCTGTGCCACAGAAAGTCTTCTTGTTTGGTGTATGAATCCAAGACTAAGAAACTCCTGACCCCTGGTGACTGCTAGTCTGACTGAGCTAAGGGTGTAGTACTGAGGAGCAAATAGCTGCAATGTTTATCTTTTAAACCAGTCTTAAGATGCCAGCACCCCGTACCCCCAGGGTCCAGCAACCTATGTGCATGGTCCTCTACATCAGAGGACAAAAGCAGAAGCTCAAAAGCAGAAGGAAAATCCTTGGGAGAGTTACAAGGTGCTTTGCAGATGGGACTGTTGGTGGCTCTGTCACTTGCGGTCATGAAGCTTCCTTTTTCTCCTTTGTCCCTGATGTGTCTTCTTTCTGAAGGCTGCTGAGCTCGCTAATGGCACTTCCAGCTTAGACGGTTGTGTGCTTGCTTTCTAGCTCTACGTGGCCACGGAAGCCATCCTCATCGCGCTGGTGGGGGCCACGCCTGCATACCACTGGGACCTGGCCGAGCTCCTGCGCAATCAGAGCCACGGCAACCGCTCAGCCGGTGAGGCCCAGGCCCTTGGGGACTGGCTGCTGACGGCCAACGGCAGCGAGGTCCGCAAGCACCTGCACTTCAGTGGCAGCTTCACCTCCATCGCCTCAGAGGTAACACACCTGGGGGACAGTGAGCCCCCAAAGGGGATTCTGATCACCAACAGGGGCCTCCTGTCCAGAGGAGTCTGTTTCTTTATCTTATTGATTTACAGCTCAGCCACATTTTCAAATTGTTTTCTAGTAAGTTTGAGAGTTCAAGAACATGCCATGAAAACACATTTGTTTTTCTTTTACTAGAAATGGGAAAAGCATGAGTCATATCAGACTAGCTAGATGGAGTCAGATGAAAACTCAAAGTCACTTTTCAAGTATAGTGTCCTTTCAGCAAGTGAGTGAGAACTTCTTGTCTCTCTCTTACATACACAATAATTAACAAGTAAAGAGAGAGGGAAAGCGATGACCACCATTAACGCCCAGTGTGTGTGTAAGCCCAGCCCTGTGTGTAAACCCCGTGGGGGGTGAGAGGATTCACCAGAGACAGAGTGGGGAGCGGAACAGGTGCATCTACTGAAATACACTGCTGAGGGGAGCAGCGGGCGAGACAGGAGAGACCATCGATCCCTTGACTGTCCCCTGTGGCACGTGGCAGGCAGGGAAGCAGGAGTCTGTCAGGGACTTGCCTTCTCTAAGCTGATGTGATGTTGGTATCCAGCTCACGAGCATCTTGGTCAGTGTTGCTGCACGTGAATATCTTGCAAGTGCTACGGAGAAGGTGTGCCTTAGCCCCTCTGTGTTAATTGTCAGGCATAAAGAAACCTGCAGGTTTCCTGATATAACAAAGGAGAATGAAATAAAAGTCACAACATCTGTGCTTCTCAGCCTTTAACCCCCACCCCAGTATGCCCCACTGTTGGCCATACGGTCGCTCACATCTCTCCTCCTTGAGAATGTGCAGGGAGACCCAAGAAAGGCTGGTCTGCTTTACATATTTTTTTAAGATTTAGATAAATTATATAGTATACGTAATGTACTGTCACATACAGTATATCTAGTATATTATCATATAGAAAAACTATATATATATATATATATATACACGCTAATATGCTTATTGAAATTATTTGGTGTAAAAGCAGAATTAAGAAACAAATGTCAAGTCCTATTGACATCTCATATAAAACTCCTGAAAATAGATAGCTAGAGAGAGTCTGCAGAACTCCAGTTTAAGGAGACTGAAAAAAATACACATTTTAAAGCTCCCGCTCCACACTGTGTTCACGTCAGGTCTTGCAGAAGTTATTGGTGGAGGGTTCGGGAAGGGTGAATGAAGGGTTATGTAGATGTGATTAACTTGGTATTAATGAAAAAAAAAATCTCTAATCTAGAAGTCTTGACTATTTTAAAATGAGCTAATAGCCATTGGGGTGAATTTATGTAGCAAATTGCTGTCTGCTGTATTCAAATTATTCCCTGCGCTCTGACTCATTCAGAAAGCACCAAATATCACGGAGACACACAATTATCATGCTTAATTAATGTTTGCAACCCAAAAGAGTCAGGTCGGAATCTTTAATATCATTGTGGATTTTGAAGAACTGAAATTGACTGATTATTATCTTGAGATTAATATATTTTCCCCAAGCCATACCCCGGGGTCAAAAGATAGAGTATTAAAACTATCTGAAAAATTCACTGCAATAATTGCTTTAGGGGCTAATTTTTTTTTAATGTCTTGCTTCCTTATGCCTGTACTGCTGATTGTTATCGCCTGCACACTTCACCCATTAAGTGGTAATTCAGAATGACAACTACATTGAAATGAAGCAAGTTAGTTAATCACCATGAAACTGTTCCCGAAATACCCTGTTCACATATGCCCTCATCACAGGAGGCCTCTGATTACCTGATTTTTTTTCCTGAAGTGAAATTTTCCTGTCCAAAGCTGTAAATATTTTTGTGGGAAATACAGGACCATGGAAGGGGAATTGGCTGGAATTGTGAGAATACTTGGAGCTTATTCAGAGCAGCCACAGCTTAGAGCTGTGCAGACCCTCAGGAAAGAGCCTCGGGCCTAGGGAGGCAACTGTCCAGCCTCCCTGCAGCCTTAAAGTGCTGCGGAGCCAGGACCCTGGCCCTTGTAGTCAGACAGGATTTTCATGTAAGTAGGACTTGGAGATCCATCAATAAGCCCACCCCGGGCTGATTTGCTTCTTCGGTTGGCCCACCTGGATGCCAGGGGCAGCTGCCTCAGTTTCCCCTTATGATCAGGTGTGCTGTGTCCCCCGCCCGGGGCTCATTTGAGGCTAGTCATCTGCATGGCTGATAAGCAAGTCCACCCTTTAGAAGAGACACAGTGGCAGGTGAGAGGCTCAGGTACCACCGTCCGAGCGTTGTGGGCCCTGCCTGGCTTGCAGGCTGAAGCCCTGTGAGTGTCCACATGTGGTTCCTGCTCTGCCCATTCCCTGTGCTTCTCAGCATGGGTGTTTGAAGGGGTTTATAGACCCGTGAGAGTGCTTTTGGGGACCTCGCTGACTCCCTTGTGCAGGCTTTGGGAAGTTTATGTTTCCATGGACAGAATCTGCCTTTGCGACTTTTTTCAAGCCAGTTTTCCAGAAAACAGCCATAGTTATTTTGTGTTTTTTAAATATTTTATTTCTATTCTTACAGCATTGTTCCCCCCTCAGGTGTGGTCCGAGTGGTTCTCCCACCACCAAAGTACCCATGAACTGCTCCCGTAGTCCCTTGTGCTCTTCTCCCCCCTGTTTTGACCCCTCTCTCCTCCTCCTCTTGCTGTTTGCCTCACTTCTGTGCTGGGTTTGCACGTTTTGTCTTTTTTTCCCTGACCCTTTGTTTGGTGTTCTTATGCCGCCCCATCAGAGAAATCATTTTTGATTTTCTTTTGCCTTCTGACTTATCTCGCTGAGCATTATCCCTTCCAGCTCCATCCATGTTGCTGCAAATGGCATGAGTCTATCTTTTTTTTTTAAGATTTATTTATGCATGCAAGACCTGGGGTACAGGCCAGAGGTGTGGGGGGTGAGAGGATTCGCCAGAGACAGAGTGGAGAAGCGTTCACTCTTACCCATAAACAATTCAGCACGTATCTAGTTAGTGCTGGTAGACATTATCACGGCAGCGCTTAGGAAGAAATACACCCTTCAGAGACTCTCAGAGACTCCCAGCATGCAGGGGAGAGACAAGCAAACACGTCATTTGACAGGCATCACTATAGATGCAAAAATTGGGAGAGAGATGGCAAAAGGAGAGCATGGCCAGCCCTGCCTCAGTGGGTCTGTTGTTTCCAGGTGAGCAAAACAACCTAAGGATGTCTTGAAGGACCAATAGCAGCTCACCAGGGGACCTTCGGGACTGGGAGTCGGGGGGGGGAGGGTGCAACAAGGCCACAGCCCCCCAAGTGGGGAGTGAGTGGTCAGTGGCAGGTGCAGTGTCACAGCAAGTGTGGAGTGAGTCATGTTGTTTTCCTTTGGGGGGCCGTGCCCTCCCCTTTGCCCCTACATTATTCATGTGTGGGAAATGTAGTCATTCATTCACTGTGGCCAAAACAAGGAGGACAGAAGGACAGAGTCACCTTGGGGAAGGAAAACGACCTGACCCAGTGCTTGAAAAAGCTCAGGGTTTTTTATTTCCCATGCGCTGGCCCTCCCATCAGAGCCAGCTATAGGAATAGCTTGTTTTTCAGCTCTTTGTGCATGAAATGCCACCAGACAGTAGACAGCGGGAGAAAAAAGTGGGCTGTTCAGGTCACAGAGGAAAACTGCAGTAGAGACAAGTCCGTGACTTTGCCGGTGCCGATGAGAAGTTGCTCACAGCAGATACTGGGCTCGTGTCTAAATTCTCAAGGCCCTTCTTGCTTTGTTATCGTCTTAGTATTGATGATTGGCTGAAGACACATCTCGCATAGACCGTGTTCTAGTTCTGTGGGGACAGGGCCCAGCACGGTGCTTCTCAGGGAAGAAACAAAGGAGGCAGCCTGGGGGTGGGATTTTGTGACTACGAGTGAACACTGGGAGCTTAAACAGACAGGAAATGATAAAAGCGCAACTAAAACAGAATTATTTTGGGCCTCCCTGGTGGCGCAGCGGGTTGGTTCAATTCCCAGCTGGCCAGGGAGATACCCACATGGCGTGGCAGACCTCTCCTGTCTCGCCCGCTGCTCCCCTCAGCAGTATGTTTCATCACTTTGCCTGTTCTGCTCCTGACCTCTGTCTCTGGTGAATCCTCTCACCCTCCCACCACTCTGGCCTGTACCCCAGCTCTTGTATAAATAAAAAAATAAACCTTAAAAAAAAACCCAGAATTATTTTTAGTATTTGTATTTAAAATATGCAACGTAGATTGAACTGAATCTCCATTAAATACACTTTGAAAGTTGCATTGTTAATGTTATGCTTTTGGTTTAACACACTCATGTATAGTGTTATGTGTATGATTGAGATCTGGGTGTTAGTTCTAAGACTGAACTAGCTGGAGCATCTAGGACTCAAAGAAAGGGGCTGAGAAAGTATCCTGGTATCAGATCCAGGCACCATCACTTGCTCTAGCACCATTTTGTCTCAGCTGAGCAGCAACGTCTATAAAATGAGACTAATAACAGTGACAGTAGCAACCTATTCTAACAGGCGTTTATTGGACTTAGAGGATCATGTGAAGACTGGCTGGTTGTTACTGATCTAGTTGTTATGTGCTCTAACCCTTCCTAGTTGACATAGCTTTGATATATCTTTTTTTTTTTTTTTTTTTTTTTTTGCTCAGATGCTGAATTTATTTTTGGGGTAATGTAAGCATGCAATCCATTTTAAAGTAATAATTAATGTTTTCAGATTATCCTATTTCTGCCACATCAGAAAAATGGGAATGATTTGTGACATCTCTGCAAAGCTGCGGTTTGGTGATTTTGAGAGTGATGCTAAAGACATATTTTACTCTTTCCTTTAAGACTTGAGGCTTCACTCAATCCGTGGTTGATCTAGTCCATGCTAGCGTTTTCAGATAATACCTGTTTGTGGGTGACTCAGCCAGGTGTCCGGATCCAGCTTGAGACCGTCCTCTTGTTTGAGGCCCCGGTCCTGTCCAGTCTGACCTAAATCACT